CATATATAAAAATACGTATAATATTGAGGGTAAATATAGTATAATACCCAAATAAGCCAAGTATCAACAGTTCCAACCAAAAGGGTATCATTATTGTGAGCATCTCTTACAGCAGGAACATTATTAATCATCCACAACAATTTCACAGCCGAAAAATACGTGGATATTGGCAACCCACATAACTTCTTAAATATATCAGCACCGTGATTAATTTGTTCAGTCAAATGATGAACCAAATCAAGAGTGCGAGTATCACTCCAAACAATAGCGTTATGGAGAGGTTTTCCAGTATTTTTATCCCATGCAATAAACGTTTCACGTTGATTAGTAATCCCAATGGCTTTGATATCTTTAATAGAATGGGTTTTATCATTTAAAAATTGGGTAATGCATACATCAACACATTTTGAAACAGAGTCTAAAATTTCATTAGGATTATGTTCAATCCACCTATAAAAAAAAAAAACATAATTCTAAACATTCGATTCATGAGAATTATTCAATGCAAAATAATATAGTGTTGGAAGCCTAACACATTGTTTCTCAATACGAAGTTTTGTATAAGAACGGGTCTGGCGAAATGAAACAAAATTGTAAAACTTCCAGCAGTATAATAATTTACCCAGGCTGAGGATAGTATTGAGGGAATCCAATTTGATGAAGTGCTACAATTTTTCCATTCTCATCAAAAATCAAAAAACGAGAAGACGACGTTCCTTGGTCGATAGCACCGATGTATGATGGCATTTCGGTATTAGGAAAAAAAGCATAAACAAGAAAGATTACAACATCTCAAATTTAAGCTTTATTTATTTAGGTTCATATTTCAGTGTATTTGGCTTTTCTACTTTTTTGGTGAAGATCTCCTATCTTATGATAATCTTTACGTACTAGTTTTCTAAACCAATAAAATTTTTGGATCAGCAAATAACGCAAAATTTAATAAAAAAAGACGTTTTTAAAAGAAATCACTTAATATCGACATGAAAATATCGTTTGTGCTCTAACCAAAAATGGTTCCCATGAGATTTTGCACGTACGTACATAAATCACCCTTACCTAAAACTAACTATATATGCGAAAAATCATGTGAAAGATCTACCACTAATGCCAAACCTGATTGGCCAGAAATGTAGATAGCAACGTAAAAAGATGTCTGACAGTTACAGAAAGTAATTGAAAGGAATTGTTGGATTTTATATACATGAGAGGCATGCCTCAACTCAGGGCATCTTTGATACGTTTTAAAATTAGTGAAACATAAGATCTACAAATTTCATGTGTAAATCTTCAATTTCGTGATGATTTAATGTGAGTGAT